GGTCTTAAATGGCCTCGAAAGTTGCGCACTTTGACCTCGTATAACTCAGAAACCGCTGATCTAAAATGAGAATAGTTTTTATTTTTGAACTCAGAATGTAGGACTCTATTTAGGAAAAAAAGTTGAGTTCTTAACTCCCAAGGATAAAAAAGTGAAAAATTCTGGAGACCCTCCTTTGAATTTATTTATCAAAGGTTGAAGATCACGATTATCTGATTATTTACAAGCGAAAATTGTTTTCGTGATCAGTGGACTTTAAAGATGATAATTATGAAAGTTCTTCTCCAATAATCACCCAATTTTATTTATAATTCATTATCAATAGTAAATTGAACAATGGAAACGCTCAAAAAGTTGGTCTCCTCGAATTTTTGTTCAATCTTGATTAAAATTAATGTTAGTAGTCAACCCATAAAACCCAATTAAACCCATTTTTATCGTTAACAAGGTGATTTCAAAATCACGTTAGAGGTTATTCATATTTTTTGAAGCAAGAAATTGAATATTGTGTTTTCCAAGTTCGTCAACAAATCAGCAAATCAAGAATTTCTAGACATTTTTCAAGGCAGCCTCAGCAAATTCCTTGTGAGGGTCTGCAACCAAAGATCCAGAATCGGAAACAACAATTGAACCAGTCATGTTTCTTGATGCATCAGACGCGAGGAAGGCGATTGTGTTAGCAATATCTGATGGATCTCCGACTCTTTGCAAAGGTTGAAGTTTCGCCATTTCGTCCCATATGTTTCCAGGCATAATTGAGGAAAGTATGTTGGTTCGTACTGGACCAGGATTTACTGAATTTACTCGAACATTAGGAGCTAGAAGAGTAGCCATTGATTTGGTGAACATATCCAAGGCAGCTTTGGACATACAATAGGACCAAAATGACGGAGTCTGTAATTAGAAAGACAGAATTTTATAAATATAAAAATGATCAACATCTTCCTGCCTAACAAGTAACATCCTGTTAATTTTTTCAAGGGCTCAAATCAACTTTAAACTTGAACTGGAAATGAAACTCACCGATCTCAAAGCAGCAATACTGGAAACATTAACAATAGCACCCTTAGCAGCAATTAAATGTGACTTGGCCAATTCAGTTAAACGTATAACAGCTCTTACATTAACTTGCATAACTCGATCGTAATCAGCAAGAGCATCAGGATCTCCAAAGGGCTTTTTAGCAACTACGCCAGCATTATTGACTAGAATGTCTAATTGTTTGTAAGCAGCAATAGTCTCTTCAAAAGTTCGTTTTACCTCATCGTCACTCTCAAAATCAGCTTTGATCACAACAGGTTTGTAACCCTGAGGTGAGTTGGCTGTACAAGCTTCAGCTACTTTATTCAATTTCGTAGCATCTCGACCAACAATGGCAATTTTAGCACCCAAAGAGGAAAAAAGTAGAGCTGTCGCAGCTCCAATCCCATCACTCGAACCAGTAATCAGGGCTACTTTATTGTCCAACTTGATCATCATGAAATTTTTTGTTTAAACGAATTCTATCTTAAACAGAATGAATCACTTATAAAACGGTTGTTTGAAATTAATTATTCAACAAAGTATTTTAACCACAGGTGAAAGCAACTTCACTTGACTACAGCTCAAGGATTACTCTTTGCTTTAACTTCCCTCTTTATTTGTTCAGATTTTTGGTTCAAGTTTTAAATAACAAGTTTAATTTTAAAAGCAATGGATCGAAAAATGATTACGATTCATCGAAATGGTTCTTTAAATTCATCGTTTTCAAATAGTTCAATACAATTTATCAACTATCCACTAATCATTGTATTATTTGAATATATTGCTTGTTTTAATCGCATATCTTCATCTTTTCATCACAAAATACACGGATACAATTTATTGAATTATATCCATAGTAATCAAACTTAGGTAAGCAAAAATTGTTTGATTTTTGCTGATATCAACATTTTGTTTATTTTTTTGAAAAATGATTGAAAATATTTTATTTAAACAAAAGATTAGCTTTGTTTTACAATTTAAATAGCTTCTGTTCTGTTTGTAAATTGAATGAATTTATATAAGAACTAAAAATATATCATAAAGATTTTAGTTGCAGCAAGTTTTTTTCATTTTATGACAAACTTGTCAGTAACAATTGTCTTTGAAACTTTTTGTTCAATGTAAATTAAAATTAATGTAAAAGAATGAGGCGTTAGATTGGAACGGAATTTAATAATTGCTTTCAATATTGAACGGCTAACGAATGATAACCATGTTGTGATGTTTTTTTTTCTGAAGATGCAGAGGAAAAAAGTAGATTGTAAAAAAGAGCTCAGTAGGAAGAGGAAAATTTGTGCTCTTTCAGTTTAAAATGATGTGACATGATAGCTCAAAATGCTACGAACATGAATACTCGACTGGGCATAATAAATATAATTCAACTTCAGAGCCAAAGGAAAACAACCAGGACAATAAATGCAACAACAGCGGTTGCGAAGGTAACCCGTTTCTTTCCTAAGATTTTGATGGAAGAAAAAGAAAGAAAAGAAAAACAAAAATTAAAACAATGACAAAATAATAGAAGATAACAAGTGGAGATAAATGCTGAACAAATACAATGACAGGAATAAAAGAGCGTAATTGAGAAAGAGCAGATAATTTAGGCTTAAAAGAAGACAATAAACCAGGAAATATGGTCAAAAAGGAGTGAAATATTGATTAAAAAAAATACCAACCCTCTGTAAAATGGAAAACTTTGGCAACTTTTTTAAATGCAGTGTCAAATCTTGGACCCCTAAGATCGACATCTTGTCCAAATTCATCCAACATCCTGGAGTAAATTGATTAAGATTGGAAAAAAGAGGAAGAGAAAATGAATTAGATATACATGTAAACAAGTTTAGGGTGACATGAAACAGAAACAAGAAATATATCAGAAGAGTGGAAAGATGTTGATAATTTACATACACTGCTTGTTCATTTGCGTTCTCTATTCTGTTGGAAGCTAATTCATTGATAACCATGTTACCATGTTCTTGTTGAAGTTGATGACTTAATGGTTGGCTTTCTTCAATCGGAATTTCGGTTTGATTGTATACTTTCCGGGTTGGACTTTCTATTTCATTCTGCAACCTTGTGTATCTAGTACCACCATCGCCGGGTGCCGTGTTACTCAGATTAAGGTTAGGATTGAGGAGAGCTGCCATGGCTTTAACTGCGTCTTTGCTTCCGTTTTTGTTTTCATTAATGTCATCCTTCATTGCTTTAACTTCTTCCCGGGTTTCCTCGATAAAGGCACGTCTACTGGCGATCTCTTTTGCATCCAGTTTAAACTTTTTTAAATTATTTTCAACAATACCTAAAATGAATTATGGAAAATGAAAAAATAAAAATTAATCAAATGAAAAATGATTTTGCTTTTATTTAGACTCGATAAATAAATAAAAGGATGAGAGGAAACAATGAAATGAACCATCACCATATTGGTTATTGTGTGAGAAATTGCATGACGATTATGATGATGATGATGATTAGTGAATCATTTATTTACAATACAGTAAACCTGCTGTTGAGAATGTCATTTATCAGATGGAAGAGAAAGACAGGCGAGAGAAAGGAAGAAGGCGAAATGGAAGGGAGACTAAAAATAATCAAAAAATAGTCATATTTGACAAATTGATCTGCCTAATATCTTATCCACTTTTCATCCATCTTGGGATGACTAGACCTGCGATAGTAATTGTGAGGTGGATAGCAATTAAAAGCAATAACGATCAAAACATGCTTACAACTTGTTAGTCAAAATAAAAGACAATAAATAAATTTCTAGAAACTCATTTTATTACAATATCAATAAATTTTCTAGATTGCATTGTATTCATTAAATTAAATGAATAAACTTTTCTCATTAGAAATTAAAACCTATTCGGTTTCATCTCACCCCTTCGATAAAATTACTGATCTTCAAAGCATGAAAATTTTCTCAGAACCATGAAGGCTAATTCTGAAATAATTATTCATTTAAAGTCATTCTACTTGAGACCAATAATGAGTAGTTAAATGGTTGAAAAATGGATGAAAAACAATAGTAAGAAATAAAACACGGTGAAAAAATGAGAAGGAGTCATCAATGAAAAAGGGGATAAAAACACTTTCTTCATTATAAACGGACTGATTATGAAGAAACACGAATTAGTAAAGTAGAGTGTGAAAAAAAGTAAAAGCAGGTTTAAAAACAATTGTTTGCTCCAAATGGTCAATATGCTGATGATCCATTGAATGAATGAATGAATTAATGAATTAAATGGATGGATTTGAATGAGTGAAACAAAAGTGAGATTAATTTAATATTTACCCAAGGCCTCTTCTAAATCTTCAAGATCCCAATCAATTGAGCGTAATTTGTTTTTTAACTCAGTTAAAACCCAGTTTGGATCTTCCTTGGAGCAATTTGTAGGATCATTCTTCTGTTCTTTCCAACATTGGTATAAACTTCTAGACTTATTAAGCGCATTAAGCACCTCTCTAGACAATAGAAAAGACGAAGAAAAATTATTAAATGTTAATGGTATAATATCTGAAAAATCATAAGAGGAAGTAGTTTAAACAAGAATGAACAATCAAGACTCAAAAATAAAAACAAGATAAGAGGAAAAAAGAGAAGTGTAAGAGTAGAAAAAACAAGAGTCTAGCAAAGGTAAACACAAGCTCTACTTACTCTTTGACCATGAAAAATGGATCTTCATTGGACATATTTGCTGATTATTAATTGAAATTTGGGTTAAATAAAATAAAAAATTGAGGAAAACGGTAATAGTGTTGAAGACGAAAGTATGGCTTGATTAATGTTGGCTGTGAATTTGCTTTGAATAAATGCGATGCACAAACTTCCAACCAAATGGTCACTTAATATGGTGATAAATGCTAGTTATAACAATTTTCGATGGATGTTACATTAAAATTGGATAGATTGTAATTCAAATTAACTAATAAACAGGTAAAAACAAATTAAAAAACACAAATAATTGGCGATAAAACAATTTACATGACAATTTCAAAGTGTTGTTGCATAAAAAAACAATAACTCCTAACCTTGATAATCTCAGATGGAGCCATTTGCGAAGATCGATTCATCAAAATCGATTCTATCAACATTAATTATCTTTTATTTAATTGCGTGGTTCAAAATATCAATAGAAATGTATGGATTTGTTCAATGTAAGGAATGTTTCTTGAAATAAACTTAATTAAACTATCAAAATTAAATTGATTTAAAGTAATAATGAAAATAAATGTCGATTTTCATTGATAATTTGAATGTTAGAACTGCCATCTAATGAAATTTTTTGCAACAATTTTTTTCCAAATTTTATCTTTGTTCATAACCTTAAGCTGGTTTACTGGGGATCAGCGTATTAAAAAGTCTTAAAGGATTAATCTCTTTGAATTAGTGAGAAGAAATTAGGTTTATCTTAATTATTGCTGTTTGACCATTGCTGGGCCTCCCTTTAGGAAACAACCTAGCCACCATTTCATCGATAGGGAAATATGACTGACACTGATCACTCTGTCCAGGTGGATTCAAGAAGTGGTGAAGAGACATCATCAGCAGCTCCATCATCCACACCAACAACATCAACCACCGCCAATAATTTAACTACTACTATCACAACTTCAACTGTAACTACTCCTTCGACATCCACCAGTTCCGGAAACAGCGGGGTTAAAGTCAAAAACAAAAGTGATGATAAGCAAGACTCATCCTCAGAACCACCAAAAAAATTTCAGAAAACCAATCAGCAGCAATCTGTTAAAGGAAGGCAAGTTGATAAATATTTTGATCAATTATTTACTTTCTCTAATATTTCTGTTTCAATTTTATTCTCCATTGTTTAGAAATCAAAATAAAGTTGGTAAAAAGCACCATCACCACCACCACCATCATCATCATCACCACCATCACCATCACCAATCTAAAGTGGGCTCTAATAGTAGCAGTAGTAGTAGTAGCTCATCATCAATCAATAGTTCAGCGGCTGGACGTAAACAGCATTCAAGCAGCTCTTCATCAGGTGAAGAAGACTTAGTTATTGACCATAAAACTGAAGATGAAGATACAACACCATCTGCTCCGACTAGCACTTTTGAAGCACCCTCAGAGTCAACAACATCAGATGCTGCTCAAAGTACAACAAATGCAGATACTAACGTTTCTTCTGCATCGAATTCTAATGGTGTTAAATCGGGAGCAACAACCATGACAGTATTAACAACTTCCAGTAAAGATAATAATTCTAGCAATGGTGGTAACAATGGTATTAATAGTAGTTCTACCAGTAGTAATATTAATCCTGCTTTAATTAACCAAGGTGACCATAGTTATAGTGCACCCAAAGTGCCGCCTTTAAAAATTGTTATTTCATCACTAGCCGGTAATGGATCATCTTCTTCCTTGCCTTCAACATCATCATCAAATGTTGAAAATCAAAAAGTTACCTCATCCAATGGTGCAGTATCCAACTCTACAACCTCTAAAAATGTATCTTACGTAGTATCCACTTCATCAGTCTCAAATTCTAATGAAGACTCGAAAGGAGATGAATCTACAGCAAAAAATTCCTCATATTCTTCCTCACCATCTGCATCTAATATGTCTTCCTCAACAACCACCTCTACAACAGCAACTACATCAGCTTCTTCCTCTTCTTCCTCCTCAAATCAGCACCTATCATCCACTTCTAATTTTTCCTCGTCCGGGCGTGTTACACGGAGTAGTCAAAGAGCTGCACAACAGCAACAAAATAAAAACTGTGAGTCCAGAGAAACATCATCGTCTTCATCCAAACAAGAGACAGACGATAATCGTAAAGGTATCTTATCCTCTTCTACCTCTAATTCCTCAGGTAAATGTGATTTCAAAGAAAGTTCCGACTCTCAGAACAATTCCAAGGAGGGCAAAGAATCAAGTAAAGAAGGATCTTCTAGGAAAAGAAAAAACCGTCACAAAGGATCTTCAAACTCATCTAATTTTTCTAAAAACAATTCATCTACCGGTTCTAATGCGTGCTCACATAGATCAGAGGATAGAGGTAGTGGAATTGACAGAGAAGACGATGACAATGAATCGACTTCATCTTCCGCATCGGGAGGCTTAGATAATAATGTTTCCAAAAGTGTAAATAATAACGGGTCTGATGGATCTGGATCCAATTCAACTGCTCAACCTAAAGATTCCACCTCTAAAGAATTTCAAATGCCCTCCTACAATTGTTATCATATGTATTTGAATATTAGAAAACAAATTGATAAAAAGCGAAATCAATTGGTACCGGTACATCCTAAACCTCCCCAAGGTTTCAAGGATTATCTCTTAAACAAGGCATCTTACCTATTAGAGGGTAAAATTCCACCTTTATCATCATTGTCATCATCGATAACAGCCACAACTTCATCATCTTCATCATCATCCCAAATGTTATTTATATCAGGAACGGCGGTCTTACCACCCCCTTGTCAACCACCCGCGAATATACAAAGTGGAAGTGAATTGTATCAATTATTTATTGAACAAGAGAAAGTTCGTCATAAATTGCGTATGCAACATATGATTGAAAAAGACAAACTGCGTTTATCAGCAGAGCAAGAAGTTTTACGAGTTCATACAAGAGCAGCATTAGCATTAGCAAATCAAAGTCAACCATTATCTTTTTGTACAATTCTTAAAGATGAAGAAATATATAATACGATTGAACCTGAAACCGATGCAACCAATGGTGATTTATTAAGTGGTTCATCAACTAGTAATTCAAATAGCAACTCAACTCGTACCAATGAATATGCTCGAGCATCGTTTACGATATCATCTGGTAATGTAGCATCTTCAACTGATCTCCATACACTTACCGGTAAATACACATTCACTTCTAGCTGTTTTATAGCAATGTTTGCTCATCATTGTGTTTTTTGTAAATGAATGAAATCTAATATTTTTTACATATAATCTATCTCTACAGGAAGCACCGAAAACCACGGCTCAAGATCAAGGTATAATGGACGTCTTTTCTCTCAATGGTTACAAGACATTGATGATAAATGGGAAAAGATTAAAGAGTCAGTGTTACTGCGGCAACGACGAGAAGCTGAATCCCTTCAAGCCATTCAAAAACTAGATTGGGAATGGAAAGGGAAAGAAACTGGTTATTATGATCCTAAAAGCATTAGAGTGATTAATATTGATGATTGTTGTGTTCCATTAGTAAAAGTTATCGACGATTTTGATCTCCTTCCTGTTTGATAAACAGTATGATTTTGAGGCTCCTCTAACGCTTAAATACGCTCCGTCCTGGATGAATCCATAAATGACCTGGGTGATCAGTCAATCAATGTGAATAAATTATTTTGTCTCCAAGTGAATTTTTTCATCTAAACTTGGAGAAATAATTTTGTTGAGATTTGTTGAAATCAAAAGAACGCAAGGCTGATCTGGATTTGGATTAATAAATTGTTTCGGATCGATAACTAACCAAGTCCGTCTTGGGCCTGGTGAAAGTAATCAGTTTGAACAATGATCTGATTACCTGGTACATATAATCATTGGCAAAGTGTGGATTTTTCCTCTTTCAATGCAACGTTGGACATCTTCCAGTTGTTATACCTCAAGTGACCAAGAGTAAATATTGTGAATATGGATATTGAGATGAGAAAGAAACTGTTAAACCTTTAACTTGACTAAATTTTTGATTCTATTTCCCATTGGTTGCCAAAATACTAACTGTCATGTTAACTTTTATATGTATTCAGTTGAGTAATCCAATAATCATGAAATGTCCACTAAAAGGTAATGGTTGTCGTAAATATCGGACACAATCAAACTTGCTAGGTTTGATTAAAAGATGGTAACTTGGAATCAGCGTAATCTTGGACGACTTCTACATCCATCAAGATCAAATAGTGAACGAATAGTGAACGCTACTCAAGTGAAGAAGAGAGAAATTAACGAAAAATATCCAAACAATTAACATCATGTAAAATCTACTTTATTTCGTGTAAATAACTTGTTATCAATGAACTATTATTGCTTTCAACCGTTAATCAATCATTTTTTATTTGGATTGATAGAAAACTTGGATTTTATTTTGATCTTACAAAGCGAGCGAAATGCAAATTTTAACTTCAATTATAAAAATCAATTCAATTCAATACAAATATGAATTGAAACATTGGAAAATGTTGAATCAAATTGACATATTTGGAGGCCTTTTAATTCGTACATGATTCATCAATATGATAATCCTTTGATCGGACATTCAAATGATTCCAACAGTTTCTCCTTGTTCAACGTGAACTTTCCTTGGTGGACTTGATTTCGAATGAAACGATAAAAATGCAGAGAAAACAAAATTAAATCAAGAAATGGATTTTTCGATGAAAACCAATTATTAAACGGATTTTATTTCGATTGATTGGCTGTCTTGTTTTAATTGTGCTCCAATCAATCTTGTTTCAATCTTACCTCAAGAATTAAACTGAAAATACCTTTTAAAGCTCAATGCAAAGCAAGAAAATTTTTTTAATCATTTGTAATCATTACGGAATCAACGATCAGTTGTCGAGTTTTTTTCCTCACTCAATTCAATGTGATTAAATAACAGACTAAATGATTGATAGGGATTAACTTTGCTGATTGTCGGGCCTCAAGTCAAGAGTTTTTCAAGCTAACAAGACGGAAAAGTATCAACTGTTGCTTTACAAGCAGCCTTTTAAACCAACAATTGACTTAATTTTTAGAGAATCCAAATCTAAAATATTTTCTGGAATTTATTCATAAAGATTAATTGTAAATAAACTGTTGATCAATTTGATGGTTGATCATTATGACCTGTATAAAGCATATAGAATGAGATTACCTCTTTGGAGCGAGAGACCAATATTTTCGACTTTGGACCAGCTTTTCAGATTCTTCCACAGTTTGAGGTAAAACGCGATTCTGAGTTTCAGGCAGAAGAGTACTAAAAGCAGCAGCAGTCAAGTCAATGATTCCCATGCAAATTAGAGGAATGTTGCTTCCATATTTGCCCAGATGAATAATGTATGGTATGAATATGGATCCAGCCGAGAGAACGAAATACGAAACTGAAAGTCCTTGGTTACGTATCACAGTGGGCAACATTTCCGAACCATGAAGACTTGAAACTATGTAACCAATGGTTGCACCCATTTTACCCATCATTGAGAAAAGAGCGACTCTAACCAAATCACTTGGATCAATCATTGAGCAAATGGTTAAACTGATTCCTGCCCAGGCAAGGCATAAAGATAATGTCCACCTTCGCCCTAAGCGACTGTCCATCAACAGACATCCAATAATAGAGGCAATCGGTTCAACTGAAACCAACAAGAAATAGTTGAGAAACTCGTTTCCCTTGAAATTTCGTATATTGTAATGAAGTCCAGTGTAGGCAACTTCCGAGGCCAACAGTGAGAGTGCATTGAGTGCCAAAATGAAGAGGATTGAACGGTTGAAAAATTGGCTGCACAAAACCTTTACTTCATTAGTTTCGGTTTTACTATTAGACTCAAACTTTCGTCCAACTTCCTGCAAGAAATTAAAAATAAAATTCAATTTCAATTTCAACTTGCACGAAAAGGGTTTCAATCCTAAAAAATTGCCAATTGAAGTGCAAAAATTTGTCTCTTCCATAATTTTTTGACTTAATTCAACAGATTTTTTATTGTACTCAAATCTTTTGTTATTTCCAGCAATAAATCAATAAATCAAACTCAAACTCAATCCAAGTTATTTCATGTAAAAATAGATTCCAAATATTTATTTAAACTTTTGATAACTTGTCTACTTTCCTTTTCCATAAAAGCCTGAATTCACAACTTACAATATTGCTCAAAAAATTGGTCAAAACAAAGGTTCTTTTCACTCTTTCAAGCTTTCATAAACCCAATATTTTAAGCTAACCCAATGACCAAATGACTTACCCTTATATCGAGGATTAATCGTTCATCAACTTGGATTCCATTTGTTTTTGCAACCTTTGATAATATGCTATAAGCTTTACCATATCGCTGAACTGAAATGAGCCATCTTGGTGATTCGGGAATTAATCTGTAAATCAGATAGATTTATAAAACTCAATTTGAAAAGGTTGAGTTTGATTTTTGTCACTTTAACCAAACATTACCTTGACATTACCAGTGCAAATGAAACAACAACAGTTGAAATTAGACTCATGTAATACCAATGAGCAGTTAAATAAGCAGCCAAGGGAAGAGTTGCTAATCCACAAGCAAATGAAATGCTCGATATAAGTGACATTTTGGTTCGTCCTTGCGGTCCCATGATTTCAATTGCTATTCTCAAAGGTAAGAAAACAAGAAAGCAACCTTAACAACCTTAACAACAATTTTTGCGACTCTCATCTCTTCGGAATAAAGTGCGTTTGATTTTCGCTGAAAAAAAGTGTCTAATTGTCTTACCAAGAACTAAAGGCATTTGGTAACAAGCATTGGTTGCCAAACCATGAACAAATCGTAATAAAATGAATGGCAGTACACCTTTAAGCAGGGTTGGTGATAAAGTTGATATGAAACTTAAAGTGATTCCAATCATGTAAGCAATTTTCCTACCAAATCTGAAATCCAAAAGAGAAAGGTAAACAAATTTATCGTAAAACTTGTTCATTACTTCAATTGTAAATTATCGCTATTAATCCTTCAACACTCCATTCTTATCTATCATGCTTAGCGATTAAATAAAACCTAGACCAACTAGAGTTATCATAACACCAGTTCAGCGTTTTTCCCAGACAAAATGGCAAGACTTTCAATTGTCTTGCAACAATTTTTGGGTTAACCAGACTTTTAGTCTTAAAAAGGGCAAACCAAGTCTGGTTTGTTGAAGGGTTTAACTTGATAAGTTGATAAGCATATTTACCGATCAGCAACGTAACCCAAAGTCGGTGTACCAACAAGCTGACCCAAACTGATCACTGCCAATGCCGTTCCCACCAAATGATCATTATCACAGACTAAACTATTCTGAAATAATTAGAAAGAAAATTTGATTATTCAAATGAAAATTTACCCTTTTCTCATTCTTCACATTACCAAGCTTTTAAACAATCACAGCTGAATTTTATATTTATTTTTATGTCTGATAAATTATTAGTAATAATTCCTCAATTGATTCATTTGGTTCCTTGAAAAATATTGACATTTATTCAGCAATTTTATCCTGATGATCAAACAACGATCAAATATCAAGTAAATATTTACATTCCATAAAAACATCGAAAGTAATTTAGTTATGAAAAAGAGAAAATTCATGAGAAGATTGAAATATTGAATTGATGAAAACTGATTGTAGGAAAAATAATTGACATCCAAATGTCCAATAGTTTGTTAGGAAATTTTTCACGATGAGATGTTAGGAGATAAAATCATCAGGTTTTCATTTCTATCAATGAAGATAACTCAGTCTCATCTCAACTGCAAGTACTTGTAAAGATTGGCACTTTATAAGCTTTGATGAGCGTCTGTAAGCTATTGAATCATTTGATTATCAACTTTTGCAATTGACTTTGCCTTTATCGGCTGATAAACTTCACGGATATGCATGGTATGGATAAAGATCAATTGCAAGAGTTATGAAACTGATTTAACAGCTCAAACCTAAAAGGCTAAATTCAATTGAAAAGATAAAAATTTTTATTTCGCTCATTTTGTGTGTTCATTCCCAAGTTTTCGTTGTAAGCCTTCATCGTGACTCTTGTTCATCTTCAATTATCTCGTTCATTGAATCCTTCATTTTAGCCGGAAAACCATTTTCACATTTGAAACTGTCAATGCAATAACTGATGTTACTCACATTTTATCACAATTGGGCCCATGTGCTATTAATTAGATTATTGGTTTTCTTTTCGCAATTAAATAGAAAGGGAAATGAACAAGGACACTTTATTCAGTCAATTTAAAAATTATGAACCTTTTCTTTTCTATGTCGATAAACTCAGGTCGACTCATTTCATGGCTTCAATTAATCACAATTTCAATCTTTAAATAGCTTGGTTTGAATTCAAAGCAACAAAAGCCAAAATAACAGAAGACAAATAGCAAAAGCAAATGAGCAAAAAGACAATTTTTGATTATAATTTAAATAATTTTCTGACAAAGCGTTCTTTTTTGGTTGTGAATTGATTCTGAACTTTTCTGGTATTATTAGACTTAATCTGTGAAAAAAGTTCGATCTAACAGAGAGTATCTCAGATCAAATTTCTGTACTTTTGCTCGACTCAAATTAATCGAGTTATTTGAACGATTCCTATTTTTTCTTATTCCCATTCCCTCAATCATTTGAAAGCCGAAAAATAACTAATTAATAATCAAATTCTGGTTAGATATCAGTCTTTTAACGACTATTTTGACGATGGTTTTGTTCAATTTTCATTGCTCTTTATTCTGATTCCTTTCAATTTGAAAGAGGCTAAGGATATATTTTGGTTTTGTTTCATTTTGAATTGATTGTAACATGTTTTTGTCAATGAACAAAACGAGACTTTAAAGCCTTTTCATCGATTGTTGCTTCGAGTTTTTCCCGTCTCTTCATTGTTAATTGTTCATCTGGCATCGATAAAACAATGAAATATTGTTATATGTTCTGGATCAAAAGTTTCACTAATTTCATACTTTATTGCAACTGATCTTGACAAACCTAAAGTGCTGATAAAAGCAAAATTTGAAATTGCCTCTAGAAATGCATGTGATTGAAGCGACTGTTGAATAAATCGATCGACTGTTAATCCATTATTCAAAAGGTTGACTACTTTTACCACAAGTTTAACTTGATTGATTTGCTATTGTTAATTTCAAACTTATGTCAATATGGTTAACTTGCATGATAGAGATAATTCAGCTGCAATTGAAGCCTGGTAAAATTTACAGGTTAGTCTTGAAAGAGAAACACTTTAAATTGAATGGTTAATCAAATAAGAAGGAAAAAAATACTTAATATATTTACATGAGTAACAAAAGTTTCATGGTAATTGGTTTTATCAAATATCCATTTGTCACATTTATTGGTTAACGAGGTAGCTGAAGTGTTTACCGAAGTGAAACATTTATCATTGTCGGTAAAGTTGGATGAAGCAAACAGTGAATCAAGCTGAATATCGGTGTAATTACGTGAATCAACATAATGAGTGCACACATGGTTTGGACTCGAGACCATAAATATTGTGGTCATGCTTAACCAGGGAGTGATGAAGGCTGCTGGAACCAGAAAAAAGTAGACAAAAAATTGCTGGTAACGTCCATATTCACCCACTTTAACCAGAATATCTTCAAACTCCATTTCGCTTCCTTTTCACCGAACAAAAAATCCTTCTAATTACAGTAAACACTTATTTTCATGATTTCACTCCAAACAACTGTTTAAATTGTTTATAAGCTGATGACGAGTCACAAAAACTGACGCAAAATCACAATATTTACAGTCGGACCTTTTTGGTGCTTTTAAACACTTGTTGGACAAGCCTTTATCATTTGCAGTTTCAGCTCTTCAACACTTTTGTTCAATTGTTCACTTGACAATACAATGGATTTCCTTATTACATAAAACGCTGTAAACGTTGACGACAATTTTACTGACCTTCAACGGATAAACAAAATGTATTTACGTATGTTTGTTAACAATTTGAGATGAAAAGTGAAACTAAAACCGTGAAAACAAAAACTGTAGCTCTTCAAATGGTGATCAAGTTGGTACAACTATATCAGTCAGGATCACAAGTGTTTCAACTTTTTTCTTTCATCTTCAAACTTATCATCATTGTGATCTCGATAAAAAAAGCGAAATCTCTTTCTCTTCCTTCTTACAATTATCCTTTCATTTTTATTTAGTCTTCAATCAATTTCAAATGCTTTACATTTGCCTCTTCAAGTTTACCCACAAAGCGAGGATACTCAACCAGCTCACAACCCATTTTTAGCACAACGGTTTTGATTGATTTTTATTGATATTATTTGCTTTCCTCAGTATTTACAATTTATAATGTAATTTGCCATATTTTTAAAATTTTCACATTCGATGGCAAAATATGTTCCATTTACCTTTCTATTTGGATGCAATAGATGGGTATTTGTTTATTAATTATCCATTTATTTACAACAGTTAATGTCATTTTTTGGTCATTAATCACTGATTCAACTGAATGACTGAATTGAATCTGAATTTACACTAAAGCTTCTCTCTGCATTTAATCAAACCTAATTGCTCTCGAAACACCAGAAAAACTCTGAAAGTATTATTTGATCACACGATTCCCGATTTCCTTGAAAAGCTGTGCAACCAGAAATTGTTATATCGTTATGAACGAAATGTAAGCTAAATTTGGACATAAATAAAACCTAATATTTAATATAAACCTAGAAAGACGTTAAAATGTTTTGTAATTTAAAAAATTTGTGTGATTTGAAGATGAAAATGTAATTTATATTTAATAAAATTTCAAAATTTTCCGAATTTGAATTCAATCAATTTATAATACTAATTCAATGCTCATTATTGCGGAATCATTGCTTATTACATTTACTACTGCCACCTATTATCATTCAAGATTATTAAATTATTTGTATTTTTTAATTAATTGCGATAAGAAATGTTAAGCATTGAAAAGATATGCTAAATGAGCTAGTATTGATAGATTAGGACTTGGAAAGTTAACTTAATATGAACTCTTTAAGTCGAACCCCAAATTATAAAAGTTTTGCATTCAATCTAAGTTAAGTGAGTTGGATAAGTTAGAAGGAATGAAATATGCAATTTTGTATTATTGTTTTAATAGTTTATTAAAAAATTAACAAAAAAATTGGAATATTTAAATTATATTTTAGGCAAATGCGAAATTCAATGGTTAGAGTCATGAATGTTAATCCATCAGCTTCAAGGACTGGCAAGGAATTGACAAATTGATAAACATGATTTATAGTCGTTAGATGCCCAACGTCAAGCCCGGCTGAGTCCATCAGTTAGAGATCAAATGCCAGATAAATTGATACCATTCAAAGAGAATGAGTCTTTAAGAAGCCCATGATTGATAATTGTTAAGAAATTAAATCGTGAAAGTTGTTCGAAAGTAACGATCATTCACCAGAAAAATCATTAAAGATCTTACTCGATCTCGGCATAGACTCCTGTTGCAAAAATAAAAAATTCATTTATAAAGGCGGTATGCGTCATTCGGTGTTAACAATTCTGAATACAATTCTAAGTTATGCTTTAGAATAAAACTTACCTGACTCAGAATCCATACTGTAATAATTTTCGAGTGGGAAAGGCCAATTTTTAGCACAAAATTCAGCAGATTTAGTTTCAATCAAACCAATTTTGTTGGAGTTAAGAACCATAGTGGGGTAAGGAATAGGATCGCTTAGGTTCCAGGGCAACCATTCTTGATGAGAGATTTGTGGCGGCTTACTGTGCCAAAGGAGAAGGTCAATTAGTGCATTGAATAAAGAAAAAAATATATGATGAATAAGAACTCACTGACCCATCTTTGGCAAATTTTGTCCAAATATCCATCATGAGAAATGACAAAACAACATCTTCATTTTTGAATTTATCAAGTTTGTTAAATGGGTGACCAAAGACCATGGGGAAAGTGTCAGCGTGAGAAGCAATATTAGACATCCATTTAGCTTGACCAGAGACTGAAATAAGAGTATGGGTTGGCTTCTGTGTTTGAACATAACCATAAACATTTGGAACGCCACTAGCGATCAAATCTCGACCAGTTGCATAAGTCGGACAAGTAAAAATTGAGTCACCAAGAGCTTGGGTGACAGCTAGCCTAATGGAATCAGAGTCATCAGCTGACAAGGAAGCTAAGTATCGTTCTGAGTAGAAATCGATCAATGTTTTACCGAAAAGTTTGCCAAAAATGTACTTAGCGTGAGGAATAGTCAAGTTAATTGGATTCAATGGATGAAAAGTAACCATGTCTTTCATCAACAACATGAAAGCACCTTCATTAGCATTAGTACCCAATAAAACATTGATATTAGGATCAACTGTGTGGTTAGAAACCAGTTCTTCTGCACGGTGAGGAAGGAATTCGCCGTCAACTGTTGGCCAGAATGTCAACCTGTCAGCTTCAGGGAATTGTCCAAATCGATAATTTGATAAACATGATTTATAGTTGTCAGATATACAGCCAATCTTGCTAGTAAAGTTTGCGACTAAGCCTGGCTGAGTCCATCGATCCAAGTCATAGATTGAACCACTTTGCATAATGGCATTTGTGAACAATCCTTTCGATTGTGGACTAACAAGGTGAGCTGAAACTGACATAGAGCCTGCTGATTCCCCGAAAATTGTAACTTTATTAGGATCTCCACCAAAATGTTCAATATTATCTTTAACCCATTTTAAAGCTAATTGCTGATCCCAAAGACCCATATTACCAGGAACACCAGCTTCAGGTAATTGAAGGAAACCCAAAGAACCCAAACGGTAATTAATAGATACAATTATAACATCTTTTAATCCGGTTATTGGTGTACCGTCATGTTGATCTGGAGTGTTAGCTGAACCATAATTGAAGCTACCACCATGGATCCAAACCATAACTGGACGTAACTTATGTTTCTTGCCATTTTGTTTATCTTGAAAAGCAGCTTCTGTCGTGAAAACATTCAGAACCAAGCAATCCTCGTTAAGGTGAAGCTCCGTGTTATAACCAGGGAAGACTGGCTGCATACAAGCAGAACCCCATTTGTTCACACTCAACACTCCATTCCATGGTTTCTTTGACACTGGTTTTTGAAAACGTAATTCATTCAATGGAGGTTCAGCGAACGGAATCCCCAAAAATTGGTAAACTTTAACACCTCTAAAATCAACTGAAGTACCTCTTATTGATCCTGAAGATAATGTTAATTCAGGCTCTACATTTTCTGATATTGTTTGATGAGATAACTGAAGAATGAAAAGGAAAAGGAAAATAATTGATGTTGACTTCATTGTAGCTTGTAAACAGTCGCTGGCAAATGCAATAATTGACGTCTTCTCTACCTCTTCTAACATTTATACTCTTCGACTTTGATTTATGAATTATTTCGATAAAATCTTCCTTCCCATTCTTAGTGCACACTTTGGTTGTTGTTAATTGGAAAACACTTGATAAAATCTCGCGAGATCTCCCAATCCATAATAAGCTGCAATGTAGTTATCTAAAAAGTTGTTGTACTTAAAACTCGTCTCTGTCTGGATAAAGTTAAGCCATTATCACTTGATTATGAGTTCACAAGTGTTGCACTGAAATGGAGTTTAATTTGAATAACTCTCCTGGCTAACGGTTACTTCCGGCACTCATTCTCCTCATGGATTCCTCGTCTAATCACGAAAGAACTTTGTTTTTCGTTCTGTTTCTAGGTTTTTCTTAGTTCCGAATCATTGCTTTTACATTTACTATTGCTATCTATTATCATTCAAAATTATTAAATTATTTTTATTTTCTAATTAGTTGCGATAAGAAATGTTAAGCATTGAAAAGATATGCTGAATGAGCTAGTATTGATAGATTAGGACTTGGAAAGTTAACTGAATATGAACTCTTTAAGTCGAACCCCAAATTATAAAATTTTTGCATTCAATTTAAGTAAAGTGAGTTGGATAAGTTAGAAGGAATGAAATATGCAATTTTGTATTATTGTTTTAATAGTTTATTAAAAAATTAACAAAAACAATTGGAATATTTAATTATATTTTATGCAAATGCGAAATTCAATGGTTAGAGTCATGAATGTTAATCCATCAGCTTCAAGGACTGGCAAGGAATTGACAAATTGATAAACATGATTTATAGTCGTTAGATGCCCAACGTCAACCCCGACTGAGTCCATCAGTTAGAGATCAAATACCAGATAATTTGATTCCATTCAAAGAGAATGAGCCCTTTGAAGCCCAAGCAGAAGTTAAACAACATGATTGATAAAAAATAGATTCTGAAAGTTGTTCGAAGGTGGTGATCATTCACTAGCAAAACCATTAAAGCTCGTCATGATCTTCCACCATCTTGGCATAGACTCCTGTTAAAGAATGAAAAGTCCATTGAAAAAGGAGTTATGAGCCATTGGGAGTCAATAATTCAAAGTTATGCTTTAGACTTACCTGTTTCAGAATTCAGGTTGTATTGTTTTTCGAGTGGGAAAGGCCAATTTTGAATACAAAATTCAACAGATTTGGTTTCAATCAAACCAATTTTGTTGGAGTTGAGAACCATACTGGGATAAGGAGTAGAACCGCTTAAGTTCCAGGGCAACCATTCTCGGTGAGAGATTTGTGGTGGTTTACTGTGAAGGAGAATAACAATTTATGAATATTAAATGAAGAAGCAGCTAAAATGATAAAATAAATTCACTTACCCATCTCTGGCAAACTTTGTCCAAATGTCAATCATGAGAAATGACAAAACAACATCTTCATTATTGAATTTATCAAGTTTGATAAAAGGGTAACCAAAAACCATTGGAATATCGTCAGCGTGAGAAGCAATATTAGTCATCCATCCAGCTTGACTAAATTCTGGTACAAGAGCTTGGGTTGGCTTCTGCGTTTGAAAATAACCATAAACATTTGGAACACCACTAGCGATCAAATCTCGACCAAATGCATAAGTCGGACAAGTAAGAATTGTGTCGCCAAGGGCTTGGGTGACAGCTAGCCTAATGGCATCAGAGGCATCAGCAGGCAATGAAGCTAAGTACCGTTCTGAATAGAAATCGATCAGCTTTTTACCGAAAAGTTTACCGATAATGTACTTAGCGTGAGGAATAGTCAAGTTAACTGGATTCAATGGATGAAAAGTAACCATGTCTTTCATTAACAACATTACTGCTCCTTCATTACCAACAGCACCCAATAGAACATTAACATTAGGATCCACTCCATGGTTAGAAACGAGTTCTTCTGGGTGATTTGGAAGGAATTCACCGTCAACTGTTGGCCAGAATAACAACCCATCAGCTTCAGGAAATTGTCCAAATCGATAATTTGATAAACATGATTTGTAGTCGTCGGAGGTACAATCAATTTTGCTTAAAAAGTTTTTGACTAACCCTGGCTGAGTCCATCGGTTTATATCATAAATAGAGCCACTTTGCATGATTGCGTTTTTGAACAGTCCTTTCGATTGTGGACTAACAAGGTGAGCTGAAACTGACATTGAGCCTGCAGATTCACCGAAAATCGTTACTGAATTAGGATCTCCACCAAAATGTTCAATATTATCTTTAACCCATTTTAAAGCTAATTGCTGATCCCAAAGACCCATATTACCAGGAACACCAGCTTCGGGCAAATGAAGGAAACCCAAAGAACTCAAACGATAATTCAAAGATACAATTATAACATCTTTCAATCCAGTTATTGGTGTACCATCATATTGACCTGGAATGTTAGCTGAATCAAAATTGAAACCACCACCATGGATCCAAACCATGACTGGACGTAAACTATTTTTCTTGCCATTTTTTCTGTCTTGGAAAGCAGCTTCTGTTGTGAAAACATTCAGAATCAAGCAATCTTCGCTGATGGGAAGCTCCATGTTGAAACCAGGGAAGACTGGCTGCATACAATATATTTGCATCCATTTGTTTACACTCAACACTCCATTCCATGGTTTCTTTGGCACTGGTTTTTGAAAACGTAATTCATTCAATGGTGGTTCAGCGAACGGAATCCCCAAAAATTGGTAAACTTTAACACCTCTAAAATCAACTGAAGTACCTCTTATTGATCCTGAAGATAATGTTAATTCAGGCTCTACATTTTCTGATATTGTTTGATGAGATAACTGAAGAATGAAAAGGAAAAGGAAAATAACTGATGTTGACTTCATTGTAATAGCTTGTAAACAGTCGCTGGCTAATGCAATAATTGATGTCTCTCTTCAAACAGCTCCAAAGAGTAATTTAAGTTAGCCCTTATCTCATTTCTCACCCTTTACCTCGTCGTGCTATCTCTTGCTCCTCTTTGAACAGCTCCGATGTATTTTGATAAAATCTTCCTTCTCATTCTTAGTGCACACTTTGGTTGCTGTTAATTGGAAAACACTTGATAAAATCTCCCGAGATCTCCCAATCCATAATAAGCTGCAATGTAGTTATCTAAAAAGTTGTTGTAGCTAGAAACTCGTCTGTGTCTGGAAAAAATTAAGCCATTATCATTTGATTATGAGTTCACTAGTGTTGCACTGAAATAGGGTTTGATTTGAGCCCCTCTTGTGGCTATGGGTTACTTTAAACACTCATTTTTGTCATGGATTCCTCGTCTGATCACGTGAAAGAACTTTTTTTGCTTCTGTTATAGATTTTGGATCGTTCTGTTTCTAGTTTGTTCTTTATTCCGATTTTTCGGAACAGAACAAAGAACTATTTCTCCTGGCGCTGGAGTAAAAGGCAATAAATCACAACATGTATGTTGCTTTTGCGTGTATCGTGGTGTTTTGCTTGCCTGAAAATTATGTACCTACAGGTATTTGCTAAAAAATCTTCCATAGACAATATTCTCATTGCTTGAAAATTGAATTTTGTGCATTTTGTCCAGTAAAACAATGATGAGCGTAAATATGAATTACTTAAGTATTGGTAAGAATATATCTCAACAGAGATTTTGAGTCAAAACACGGAAATTGAGAATAATATGCAAAATTCCAACTGTGATCATAGTTCTCAATTCAGCCAATTTATCTTATTCGTGTTTCTTGTCCTCACGATTGCTTACAGATGCAGTCATAACTAATTCATCAACTCCAATCTCCAGAGGAAGACCTACAAGAGCCGACAACATCACTTAACCGCCAATGGCCAGAAGCATCTTATTTGGTACCCAACTTTTGGCATGTCTAACCTACTTTCAAGACACACATAGATGATGAAGAAAGCTCATCTTATAGGAGGTTAATAATGTTAGATGCTTCCAAAAGTGTAAATGATACCATATCGAAAGACTCTGGATCAAATTCAATTGTTCACTTAAAGATTTCCACTCTTGGGGAATCGCGAATATTATTGAAGGCAATCTTTAACCATGGATATCAATGTGACTAACTACATAACTGTTGTCCATTTATCTTGTTTATCAATCAATAGTTAACTCTTTTACATGTTACAATAATTTCCTTCGCGTTGAGTGAAAGTGAATTTGTACTACTACTTCACTCTCCATTTAATCAAACCTAATTACTCTTGAAGCACCAGAAATGCTCTGACAGTATTATTAAGTTCTAGGGCAACCATTCTCGGTGAGAGATTTGTGGAGGCTTACTATTTGAAAAGAGAAGATGAAATAAGGAATATTGAAATAAATAAAATGATGGATATAAATATACAAACCAATTTTTGTCTGAATGTCCATGATCAAATCTCGACCAAATGCATAAGTCGAACAAATAGGAATTGTGTCACCAAGAGCTTGGGCAACAGCTAACCGTATGGCATCAGAGTCATCAGCAGGCAATGAAGCTAAGTACCGTTCTGAATAGAAATCGATCAGCTTTTTAACGAAAAGTTTACTGATAATGTACTTAGCGTGAGGAATAGTTAAGTTAATTGGATTCAGTGGATGAAAAGTAACCATGTCTTTCATCAACAACATTACTGCACCTTCATTACCAACAGTACCCAACAAACATTAGCATTTGAATCCACTGTATGGTTAGAAACCAGTTCTTCTGGATAATTCGGAAGGAATTCACCGTCAACTGTTGGCTAGAATAATAACCCATCAGCTTCAGGGAATCGTCCAAATCGATAATTTGATAATCATGAGCTTTATTGGTTAGATGTACAGCCAATTTTGCTTGAAAAGCTTTTTGGCTAACGCTGGTTTGGTGCATCGGTTTATAGCATTGATAGAATCATCGGGCATAATGGCGTTGTTAAACAATCCTTGTGATGGTAAACTAACAAGGTGAGGTGAAACTGGCATTGAGCCCACATATTCCCCGAAAATCATTACTTCGTTGCATCTCCACCACACGATAATTAATAGATACAATTATAACAGCTTTTAAGCCGGTTATTGGTGTACCGTCAGATTGACTTGCAGTGTTAGCTGAACCACAATTGAAACCACCACCATGGATCCAAACCATGCCTGGACGTAATTTATTTTTCTTTCCATTTTTTTCTTGTCTTGGAAGCAGCTTCTGTTGTGAAAACATTCAGAATCAAGCAATCTTCGCTAAGGTGAAGCTCCGTGTTGAAACCTGGGAAGACTGGCTGCATACAAGCAGAACCCCATTTGTTCACACTCAACACTGCATTCCATGGTTTCTTTGGCACTGGTTTTTGAAAACGTAATTCATTCAATGGTGGTTCAGCGAACAGAATCCCCAAAAATTGGTAAACTTTATCAACTCCAAAGACAACTGTAGTACCTTTTATTGATCATGAAGATAATGTCAGTATACTATAGTACGGACATAGCAATGATAGAATAACATAAAAATCAGACAAAAGCATAGCACAACTATTTTAATATCAAAAGCACACATCAAAGGATATATGGTACAAACATAAGCAGTCCAAAGGTAGTTGTAATAAGCCGTGTCAATTTTTTCGCTTTCTTTCCTTTCTCTGTCTTTTTTATCTAGTTTTTGCTGAAATCGTTAATGTTACAGATCAGATAGCAGATGTAAAAAGCCAGAATGATCATTGATAACATGTTTATTTCTGAGAACTTATAACAAACTATTAGCAACTTTAGCAGTTAGCAAGAGAAAAGTTTAAACAGTATCATAACAAACAAAATTGCGAAAGTTACAACGGAAATTTTTTTAAACTGCAATTAGATAATCTGATAGGTCTATTAAGATAAAGACATCGCTGATAGACTTTAGGGTAAAAATGTTATGGCTAATTTTTATCCAAAACAAACTTTGCGTTCAAAGTTCAATCCAACGTAGACAACCAGAGAGTAGAAAAAACAATTAGTTACATCCTCACTAGTGTATTAACTCTATTCAATTGCAGTTTTAATTCTCAGTTTATGTCTCACTACCTGGTTAAGTGAAGCTACAATTCAAGTTAGCTTGACATTTTTATTTTAACGTATCACACACGCCATCCTGAGATTTGTTCTAAATTTTTGTAAAATTGATCATCAATTTCTGACCCTTTGAACAGTTAAGTTTTTTTTGCGTTTATTGTTCCAAAACTTTTATTAATTATTTATCCTACTACTTTCATTCACCGTCATGGCCTTAGCTCATGTACCATCTGGTAATCAGCAACTTCTCCAGCAGCGTGCAATATTACGTACTCTTCGTCGAGAAATGCAAGCTACACGTAATGGGTGGATATGTAATAAGGGTAATCCCCGACTATGTGAGCTCAATGTTTCCAATTTACCTGGTGGCATTAACGACCCTAACATCGAGACACAGCTTCACCTTGAGTTAATTCTAAACAGACTGCCCAACTCATACCGAAAAGTTTCTTATGTAATGTACCAACGTGAGTATACTACCATTGGAGTATTTAATAATCGATACAAGCCAGAAATAGCGTTGTTAATTAATTCACACCAGCCTACTTGGACTGTGTCAAATCCTGTGTTGCGTCCAGCTCGGATGTACTTCTTCGCACGTTCACCTACGGACAACAACAATTTACCCGGTTTCACTAATACTTTGATTAGAATGAACCATTTGGTGAACGATGGTGTAACGCGTGTTACGGATATTCGACTCGGGCCTAATGAGGACACGCGTATTACTCTAGCTGTTAGTCAACAGAATCGTAATCGGTTACTGAATTCTGAGGGAAGAATTGTGTTTTTTAACAGAACCGCTCTTATATATGATGATCTAGGACTTGTATGTTGTTCTCGCTGTTACTCATACGATCATTCTACTGATCAGTGTACTTCTGGCAATGTTAAGTGCATCACTTGTGGTGGTCCTCATGATGGCGAATGTCCGTTTCAGCGTTTTCCTGGATTACGACGATGTGCTAGTTGTCCTTCTACACTCGCTGAAAGCCATCATACTCATTCGCAGAGGTGTCCTTCATTGTTACGTCATGCTTCTCTCTTAGCTAACAGAGTTGATTTTCAATACAACTGGCTGTTGATTCCTGTGTGCCCTACCCTCTATTAGTATACCATTAAGAACTACTCTTATTATTCTAATTTTCTTTGTAATCACTATTGAGGCCCATTGCTCCATTTAACCAAATTATGCCGAATTATGTAACAGAGTGTATCAGGCTCTTAATGTTTTTCTAATTCTAACAATAAAGTGATTTCAACTGATTTAAGATGGTTCTAAATGGAATTTATTTTTGGTGCAAACGTATTTTGTTCAGTGTGTAGCACCACACCCAAGTTATGCTTTAGAATAAAATTTAATACCTGTTTCAGAATCAATATTGGGCTTTTTTTCGAGTGGGAAGGTCAATTTTTAATAAAAAATTCAACCGATTTGGTTTCAATCAAACCTATTTTATTCAGAGTTTAGACCAAAGTATGGTAAGAAATAGAATCACTTGCGTTCCAGGGCAACCATTCTCGGGAAGAGATTTATTGTGGTTTACTGTTTCAGAGAAGATCAATTATTGCATCGAATGAAGAAAAACAAAAATGATAAAAATGAATTCACTAACCCATCTTTGGCAAATTGCGTCTGAATGTCAATCATGAGAAATGACAAACAACGTCTTCATTTTTTAATTTATCATGTTTGGTAAATGGGTGACCAAAAACCATGCGAAAAGTGTCAGCGTGAGAAGCAACATTAGACATCCATTTAGCTTGATTAGAGACCGGTAAAACAGCGTGAGATGACCTCTGCGTTTGAACATGACCATAAACATTTGAAACAACACTAGCGATCGAGTCTCAACCAAATGCATAAGTCGGACAAGTAAGAATTTAGTCATCAAGTACTTGAGCAACAGCTAACCGAATGGCATCAGAGTCATCAGCTGACAATGACGCTTAGAACCGTTCTCAATAGAAATCGATCGATTTTTACCGAAAAAATGTGAAAAATGTGATTTTGCCAAGAATGTACTTAGCGTGAGGAATAGTCAAGTTAACTGGATTCAATGGATGAAAAGTAACCATGTCTTTCATCAACAACATTACCATTACATTACCATAACATTGTACCTTCATTACCAACAATACCTAATAAAACATTGATGCGCTGATCCAAGCCATGATTTGACACAAGTTCTTCTGGATGATTTGGAAAGAATTCGCTGTCAACTGTTGGCCAGAATTTTAACTCATCAGCTGCAGGGAATTGATTGAATTGACAATTTGATAAACAAGATTTATAGTCATTAGATGTACAACCAATTTTGCTTGAAAAGCTTTTTGGCTAACGCTGGTTTGGTGCATCGGTTTATAGCATTGATAGAATCATCGGGCATAATGGAATATATTTTTGAACAGTCCTTTCGATTTTGAACTAACAAGGTTAGCTGAAACTGACATTGAGCCTGCAGGTTCACCAAAAATCGTTAATTCATCAGGATCTCCACCAAAATGTATAATATGATATTTACCTAATTGCAAAGTCAACTGCTGATCCCAAAGATCCATGTTACCAGGAACACCAGCTTCGGGTAATTGAAGGAAGCGTAAAGAACCCAAACGATAATTCAAAGACACAATTATAACATCTTTAAATCCGGTTATTGGTGTGGAGATTGATTTGGAGTATTAGCTGAACCAAAATTGAAACTACCACAATGGATTCAAACCATGACTGGACGTAACTTATTTTTCTTTCCATTTTTTCTGTCTTGGAAAGCAGCTTCTGTTGTGAAAACATTCAGAATCAAGCAATCCTCGCTGATGGGAAGTTCCGTGTTGAAACCAGGGAAGATTGGCTGCATACAAGCAGAACCCCATTTGTTCATACTCAACACTCCATTCCATGGTTTCTTTGGCACTGGTTTTTGAAAACGTAATTCATTCAATGGAGGTTCAGCGAAAGGAATGCCCAAAAATTGGTAAACTTACAAGACGTACAAGAACAATAAAACACAACATGTATATTGCTTTTTTGATGATTTTTGATCGTATATTGATTCTGTTATAGATTTTGGATCGTTTTGTTTCTAGTTTGTTCTTAATTCCGATTTTTCGGAACAGAACAAAGAACTATTGCTCCTGGCGCTGGAGTAAAAGGCAATAAATCACAACATGTATGTTGCTTTTGCGTGTATCGTGGTGTTTTGCTTGCCTGAAAATTATGTACCTACAGGTATTTGCTAAAAAATCTTCCATAGACAATATTCTCATTGCTTGAAAATTGAATTTTGTGCATTCAATCAACCTTCCGTGTCATTAATGGGCTTCGCAATACCACCGATATCAAATTAAGGATTTGTTTATAATTTAGAGCCGAGAAAACAAATCAACCTTAAAATGATCATCCATATCTTTACAAGTGTCTTAGAAATTGAGGTTCAATTTGATCCAGAATCCAATTGAACATGTTCATTCCACCGAATCAACTATCCAGTAAAACAATGATAGGCGTAAATATGAATTACTTAAGTATTGGTAAGAATATATCTCAACAGAGATTTTGAGTAAAAACACGGAAATTGAGAATAATATGCAAAATTCCAACTGTGATCATAGTTCTCAATTCAGTCAAGCAAAAAAGACAGTTAGACAGTATATAAAGCAAAATTTTGAGGATATCGCCATCAGTTGAATCCATATTCAAGCTGAAGATTCGAATAGTGCTGAATTTGTTTAAAACAGTTTCAAATTATACAAGCTTAAATAATTTTACGTTTATTTGTTGATTTCATAAAAATGATTTCAATTTTAGTATCTTATTTGTGCTTCTTGTCCTCAGGATTGCTTACAGATGCAGTGATAACTAATTCATCAACTCCAATCTCCAGAGGAAGACAAATGGATGATCTACATGAGCCGACAACAGCACTCAACCGCCAATGGCCAGAAGCCTCTTATTTGGTACCCAACTTCGGCATGTCTACTCTACTTCCAATCGCTATTCTTATCTGAATCGGAGTTATTCTGTCAAATTGCGCATCTTGAGTCCTTCTTATAGCTAACAATCATCAACTAATAAACTACTCAGCTGTAATATTGAGTTTGTTCAGATTTTTCCAAGGCTACAGATATGTTTAGCCAATACACAATTCAAAATGCAAATAAATCAATAAAATTGATCTGGCATTATTTTCGTGGAAAGAGTCCAAACCAGCCCATTGTTGATTATGTCCCAACAGGTTCTCCTTTTTTGGTGTAACGAGAGTAATAATACCAAATGGTTCTGAAAATTTTGTAAGATTAAAAAGGAATCAATGTTATTGACTGAATTTTGAAAGTCGAATGGTTATTCAAATATTTTCTTTAAAAAAATTCTTTAGATAAAACGAAAACACAATTTGATAAAGTCAGACTCTTTGAAATCCAAAGTAAACAGGTTCAAGCTTCCAGTTGTTGATCTTAAATAATCATTTCCGTGCCAACCTACCAAATCCAATTTATCTGGTGATTTGTTTAAGTAGATCAATGGATAAAAGTCGTAAAATTGGCGGAGACACAGATAGATGATGAAGACAGCTCATCTTACAGGAGGTTAATAATGTTAGATGCTTCCAAAAGTGTAAATGATACCATATCGAAAGCCTCTGGATCAAATTCAATTGTTCACTTAAAGATTTCCACTCTCGGGAAATTGTGCTTAAATCAATTTCTATAATAGAGTAATCCATATCTCGATAAAAAAGTAATCCTGCGCTTATAAAATCTTTAATTTCGATGGCGATAAATCAATGAAACAGTCTTTTGGTCCAACGAGCAGCATTGAAAAAATAAACTCATAACAAACAACATCAATAATAATAATGGATCAGTGAAAAAGATTGACTGAATATTTATTAGAACTGTTTAAATGTTAACCTTGAATATCAATGTGACTAACTAAATAACTGTTGTCCATTTGTCTTGTGTATCAATCAATAGTTAACTCTTTTACATGTTACAATAATTTCCTTTCGCGTTACTTTTACATTATTAATACAATGAAACCATACAAAAAAGAAAAGATGAAAAATTCGACTTTTGCTTGGTACCAATCATCAACTCATCTGATGTCTTTCCGATGGGAAACCCTTTGAAGACAAAAAAGAGACAAAACAAAGACATTAGTAAATTAGTTACAAGGTGAAATGATTGAACACTTGTTTTGTTCAAACCAAATTCAAAAATTGATTTTGTTACAAATCCTAGTTTGCAATTAACACAAATTGAAAGGTTAAACTTGCAATGAAATTTGTACAGTTGTGACAAAATGAGCTGGTCAAAACCGTTTTTAGCTTCAAGCTTAACTGTTGATCTCTTTAATAGTTATAATAATGTAGTAAATAATGCAACATAAAATAACATAATAAAATGATAATAATGACATAATAACATTTAATGAAGACTGAGAAAGAGAAGAAAGTAAAGAAATGAAAGGGTAAAGGATGAGAAAAAAAGAAAACAAAAAAAGGAAAAGTAACATTTTATGAATACAGCAAAGAAAATTGAGTTTTGGTACATTTTACTTTCTATGCACGTAGAGAAGCAACTTAACAGTTAAAATTAGAGTCAAATTGTAGACAATTGTTGGAACCATAAAACTACTGATTAATCAGTAAGGTTGCCGATATTGACAATTGAACTCTAACTTCAATGGATGCGCCTCTAAGGAAAAGAAAGTAAAGATTGACCAAAACTTGATTCACTATGCTATACTTTTTTGTATATACATTTATAAATATTGATATAATCAACTGTTTAATAAAACGACCAAAAAAACGAAATTGACCATTTCTTGTTGACCAACTTGGCCCAAAGAGACTTTTTAGATTCTAATTGCTTTCTCTCTTAGACAATAGCATTTGCATGTTTTTACCGATGAGATCGAGAAACGGGTTTAACGGTGACTTGTCCTTGATATTCATGACCTTCTTCAGCCCATTTCTCCTCATCAATGTCCTGCTCTTCACCAATTGAAAGTTGGGTTAATGGCTTTGATTTACTGGCTGAAAATGAGGTTAACTTGTTTGGTCCTTCAAGCAAAGCTCCACTTCCAAAAGCTTGCTGCAACTTGCTGCGCAAAATTGAAGCATATGTTGAATATCGTTTTAACTGCGAAAAAAAGATGAAAAAAAACAGTTAAAGATTAGTAAAGATTAGTAAAGTAAAGATGAGTAAAGATAAGTTGAATTATAGTTTTTATGGCCGTTGATTGGTAAGGCACAATTGCTATTAATATATGTGTCTGGACAAGTCCAGTATTTGATGACATTAAATGTAAAGTGCGTTTACCTCAAATTCAAGGTAACTTTGTTTCTCAGCGTATTCGTTGAGTACCCGTCGTTGAGCTCCTTTATCTGGATGCTTGGAAACGTGGTCTTCAAGAGCCTGAGCAATCCGTTGGATTCTCATTTCATGATCGGCCACTTGCTCTTTAGTATTAAATTTAGTATGGCTACTGGGTAATAAAGGCTTTTGAAACTTTTTAGCATGGGATCCCACAGAAGATGGGAGAGGTGGAGCCGATAAGGTTCCAGCGACCAGATTAATTGTATCGACCCAAGATTGAAGTTCCTGTGCATCACTGTCAAGATGAAAGAAAGAAATGGAAATTAGAATTCATTTTTAATCTCATTTTACATGTTATGTGAGTGTGCCAATTGTGTAAAGATAACAAAATGTAAGTTGAACAAACCTTGTCTGGAAAAGGTATTCACTTTGATCTGCTGTTTGCAACCTGAAAACGTGCTGTTTCTTGGTGTAATCAGTAGCTGGTGTAGCAAGTGCATGATGGATTCTGATTGAATTGTGCAAAGATTCATAAAGTTGATTTTTACGAAAACCTTGTTCATCTTTGTGCAAAAATAGAACCAAATCTCGTAAAGTGGCGTAAAACATTTTCCAACCTCGTTTACCGAAAGGTGTTCGTTTACCGTTCATATCGAAACAGCATTTTCTCATGATGTAACCTCGCTTATATTCAGTTGCTGTATTGGGATTGGGCAGCTTAAGGAAAGGATTGTTACCCAGAATGGCTGGATTAAGGCTGGAAGAAGATCCACTTCCAGAGTCAAGTAGACGACGGTTGACTCCATTGAGCATGGATAAGTCATCATCACTGTAAATGAAAAAGACGAGATTAGTAAAAGACAAAAATGACCAAAAGAAATTAATTAATCCATTCAATGATAGTTACAATTTTCACATTTCACTAATCGCATTTAAGCTTTGAAACGTGAAAAGTGATTGCGTTTGTTCAGAATCGATTTTGAAACTTTTGCAATAAATGCTGATAAAGATGTGAACTCGAGTAAACTTTTGAGGACAACAATAAAGCTTCTTTGATGAACAAGCTCATGAAAATGATGAAAAAATTTCATTCACTCATTTATTATTGATATATTGTTGATAAATTTTGTTACTTGTAAAGTTACTTGAGTGAGAAGAAGATTGCTCTTTATCATCATCACCATCGTCATCATTTTGATTACAAGAATAATATTATTATTGTTAGACGTCAAAAGCACTTTAACTCATTATTATCATGAAGAAACTTCATTGGCAATATTGGAAGGAAAACATTTTTTTTTTTGATTAAAATGACAGAATTGTTATTGTTGCTCAATTTAATCAACATCAAGAGTCTAATAATTAATTGTTTCACTTTTTTTCCCAACAATTGAACAAAATATTAAAAGTCATAAGCAACAGAATCTATTATTATTAAAACTCATTATTTGGTTATTTGTTTATCAAGCTAATCATGATTGAAAGGTTGATACAATTAACACATAAAACAGTTTAAAAGTAACAGTTAAAAAAAGATGAAATGAGCACTTTAACCTGAACTTTATTTTACAACCAAATGATATTGATACGTGAATATCATGATTTATGGAAACCATTAATAAGCAATTTTTAAAAGAATGTTCTAAATGTGTCTGAAAATCGATTGTTGCCCGAAAAGATTGATTGAATTACATGACTCAATTGAAGACAGTTTAGTGAAACAATTACATGTTACATTATTGAATGTTGCTGTTAGCGTTACCAGAATTGGAATCAATAGCTTACTGTAAATTGTGATCTCTTTCAATTAGTTTTGTTTAATGATAAAACTGTAAAGCTGTTACTTGAAATTGTTTGTCAAATAAAATTATCAATTATAATGTTCAATTGAATGTTTAAAATTTAATGCTTAATCAATCACATAAAAGACGAAATGATTGAGATATAAATAACAGATTGGTTAACTTTGATCATGATTTATTGTAAACTTGAGACTTTTTTCAAAGTGAATTTCAATGAAATTTCAATTCTCGTTCAAAGTAAACCATGATTTTCAATTCAATCAATTATTGATTCTTAAAATTATCATTTCTGTTTTGAGAAAAAATTTTGTTGACGAGAAAAGCAAAGTTGCTTCCATGAAAATAAATTTACAAGTCAATATTTTCCATGAAAATTGGTTGGCACAAGAGATTGAATGGAATGTTGACCAGAAAATAATTAACTTTACAGATGGACTTGGACATCTCAAGTATTATTTAGAGAATGAAATTAATCAAAAGAATAGTAAATGAGGTTAAGTTAATGTCCAAGTTTTGTCTGAGCTTTGTCAATGTTTCAAGATGAAAAGTCGGTGGAAATAAGGAAATTCAGAGAAAATCTCAACAAGAGAAAACAGTGAATCGATAAGATGATCAACAGAATAAGGTAAATATACAACAATAAAAATATATATTCAATGTTTACGGTTAAAAGTAGCAGAACATCTATCAATTAAATTCAGATTGAATCAGTAATGTTGATTGTGTTTATGAAGTTGACAGTAAAAAAGATTCAAATTTTCAATTTTAACACTTGAAAGTAATTCCAATGGAATTGAATAGTTGCAGCCAAAGATGATGGCGGTAAATCTGGACATTTTTAGATATTAATTTATCTAATATTTTATTCAAAATACAAATGAATATTATCAATTTTATCGAATAGAAAACAACAAATTTTACCAACAAAGAATCCTTTTCAACAAAGGAAGATGGTAACAACCAGAAAAGTAGGAATAATTTGGGTAAATTGGGTTTCTCAACTATTGGCCTTTCTTAGCTGGTTGAAAAGAAACGTGAAAAAATGAAAGAGAAAAAAAGAGTAGAAAGAAAGGTGAAAATTCGACATTTCTCTTTACAATAAACTTCTAACTGTTACATATCTTTATTTTATTTGTATTTATCACCTGGAATCGTAATGTGATTCAAGGATTGAAAGTTGATTTTCATCGATTTTCAATTGCTTTTACACGAAAAGTTGTTCAAGCAACTATCAGTGAATGTTGAACACTTATTCAAAATGGAAACTTGATAACAAATAACAATTGTTAACAGAGGCAAACAAAATGTCTATTGAATTAATAATTTCCAGGAATGGAGAAAAGTGTTGCAAAATAAATCAATTCTTGATATCGAAACCATGAACATCTGAAAGAGTTGAAAAAGGCTCTGAAAATTGAATCAAATTAGTTAACCTTTTAGTCCATATTGACCAATAGTTTTCTCACTCAATGTGATACTTTTGAGATGCATTTTGTTTCCAAATGTTTAAATGTACTTGAAAGTCAACAAATGTAAACCCAAATTACATGTAAGATTTGTATTTCAAGGAAACTCGTTACTTGAGTTTTCAATTGGAAAGGTTGCTTCAAACGTAATCATGAGGAAATTTAGTTAGAAAGGGAAAAAACAATGAAACGTTGTAATGAGATGTTCTGAAAAAGATGAAGGTTAGTGAATAATTATGATGAACAAAAGAAGCAACTGATGTATTAATATATTTTGGTGTTAAAAGAAAGATCAACTTTTTTCTGCGATTCATTATCATGAGAATACAAATGAATTCAATTTCGATACGTATGTTTACGTTGGTTGCTAGTTTGCTGAATAAAGTAATTGGAAAGAAATAATTTTGGAGACAGAAAGCCAAAAAAAGATGAAACAACTAGCAAGTTTATGATTAATCAAATTGCTTGGATTGAATGGAAACTTTTCGCTCCATCAGATTGATTCATTTTCATGATTATGATTATTTTTTCTGGTTATTTTTTGGTCAACAACAACTTCATCATTTAGGATAAACATCTTCTCAGGTCAGTTGAAATTGATCCATTCAACGGTTGACCAGATAATATTTTGGTTACATTTTTTTGTTGTTGTTGTCGTTTCGTCAGTCTTTCTGGGTTTTTCACTGTAATCTGATATTAAGGAGGAGACGAGTTGAGTTTATCATTGGTTGAGGGAAAAAACATTTCAAGATTTACAATAACAGACAACATCTTAACGGTGCAATGGAACATTTCGTTGGAAGATTGAGTAGAAAAGATTATGAAGAAAGACAGTGTAGGAAGAAGAGTGATGGTGATGATGATGGAGAAGAAGATGAAAGAATGGGAAAGAAGCAAAAAAGACATTGTTGTTGAATATTTGGTAAGGGAAACCTCCAAATGAACAGATCGATATTGCAAATCGATTCAGCTAAAGAGGTAAAGGCACACACACAAAATGGTTTGAAAAGAGTGATGAAGATGAAGAGAAAGTGGAAAGAAGAGAAAAGAAGAATTGAGAAAATAATTTTCATCATTATTGTTATTTTGTTTGAGCCCTGAATTTGGGTAACAATAAAAATGAAATACAAACAAGAGTAAAGTATGAAAATGCAAAAATTGTTAGATTAATGGTAAAGGTAAAGCTGTGAAGAGGAGGAGAAGTGAAAAAGAGGAACATAAATTGAGAATAGACGATTCCATGGAGAGAATGAATGTTAAGATGATTGAGGAATGAGTTTCGAAAAGTAAAATTTAATTCCATTTCATATTCTTCATGTTGTTTGGCAGAGTTTCAAGTAACAATTTCAAGTGTTAGGCCATTGGCTTGAAACCAAAAGTTAATGAATGGCAGGCGAACTCGAGAGAAACACCAAGCCAAACTGAACTTTTTGAGGAAAAGGAAAAATTAGCTGAAAATTCATTTTCATAAGAGACACACATTTTATTGTCTCTGATGTAATCTATTTCAAGGTTTTCAATGCTGTTGACTTGAACATTTTTTGCCACATTTTTTCATCTCCTTTTTGCTTCGCCTGTTCAACAAGCAAACCAGATTTTTTCTTCTTCTTCTTCTTTCGTAGGAAGGAAGACAAAATTGGGTGAAACAAAAGAGCATAACACTTGATTCAAGGAAAAGGAAAGGTTCATGGATGCTGATGATGCACACAACAGGAGTTTAAAGTGAATAATAATGACAATGAAGAAGCCGTCAATTGTTCAAGTGTAAAATAGATAGCGTAATCATAGTTAATAATTGAAGCAAAATGGGTAAACAACTAGTTTTTTTGATTAACTTTTTGTAGGAAACAAAACATTAATGAATTATATAAAAATTGTGAAACATTGTAATTTAATTGTTCATTATTTTCTTATTTTAGCAGTTCAATCATGTTTTTACGATTCATTGGTGGTAACATTTAAAGCTATTTGCAAGTTTGAAATCGCCGGCGAATCTAATTCAAGAATGACAATTAGAAAGTGTTAAATGGTGGCAAATTGCACGTCTAACAAAAACTGAACTGAATACGGAATCTGTTATGAAACGAAACAAAAGAGTGAAAAGTAAATATGAAGTCGGCAGAAGTTTACTTTTCTTGTTCTCATGAGGTTCGTTGGGAAACATAAGGTCATTTGTATATTCACAGGTAAACAGATGAGTTGAGAAACAGGAACACAATTGAAGTTGGCCAACATGAAAATTCAGTTTTGCATCACATGAAGGTTATTTTCACATTTAAAGTTTACTTTGACCAAATTCAGTAAAGTTAAGATTAAAATTTGGATGTGAAAAAGTATTGAAATTATATTTGGCGAATCTGTTTCATGATATACAGCATGATATGAATTGGTTTATTTTCAAGTTTGAGTTTAATTTTGTTTTAAAGGTTGGAATATGCATTGAAAAATTGAGTTACACTAAATGAAAATAGGTTTGTTTGGAGTTGTCACAATTGAGTAAACAGTGGGACTAAGTGAAAGTAACGAAAAGGAAGCAAAAATAAATTCAATTGAATGTGAAA